AAATTTACAATTGTTCCTACGCACAGATCTGCGTGTAAGTACAGTTGATAAATGAGGGCCTTGGATTCAATCCTTAAATGCTAACCAGGCCTTTTTTCAGTTTAGGAACATCTGGTTTAAAACGTTAGATGTTGATTTAGGGTTTATAGGTCAAATCATAGAAGTTTTCCCCTGTAAGGAAAGTGCTGTAGTTAAATCCAGCTGGAGTAAACATCATGCTGTCTGCTTTTGCCTGGATGAATGTGAACCAACCTAAAATCCATTGTCTGTCTTTGTGATTCAGTCTAGATGAAGCCAAAGAGTTTATTTTTTAAACAAAAATTTCTGATGTGAAAGGCCTTTGTTGTGACACGTCTGACCCGCACGATGTGAAGATTAAAAAGACTGAGGTTTTACATTCTGCTGACTTGTGTTTGACTTTTCCCTTTGAAGACGTGATGTTTGACTTTGCGTGTTGCTGCCTCCAGGCGTGAACTGCTCTCTGATTTTCTTTCATGTTACTCTCATTCTGCCAGCTTGCTGCTTGTTTGTTGTGGAGTCATTACTGACTGTCACTCTTCATCTCTCCAGCATTAATTCAGCTGATAATGCTCACAAATTTCACCATCATTGGCAGTTAATTGACGTTAATCTGCAGAGACGGCGGGAATTATAAAAAGCGTCGTGTGGTGTTGTGATTGTTGTTGATTGCGAGCTGTTCTGTCCTCCAAAGGGGCTTCCCAGCTGCTGCCTGTAATTTCCAGATGTTGCCTCTCCTGCATCAAATGCAGATCAAATAAAAACAGAGTTAATGGCTTGTAAACTGACTGTTGTTTATGTACAGAAATTAGCTAAATAGAATTTCACGCTCTCATCTAATCCTCCACAGACTGACGACAGTGACTCCTCGTCAAACTATTCAGACGATGATTCTATGGGCCGAGGCCGATCAGAACCAGAAACAAAACCCATCTTATCTGTCCGTGAGTAATGATTTCTGTAACTTTTTTGGGGAAATTGGATAATAAAAGACTGAAAGCATGTTTGACCTTTTTCACAGGCTTTTTAATGTGAATATAACATTCAATAATGCTGTTGTAACGTTTTTTTACTCCTAGAACAAACATAACTGTGACTAAATTACTATAAACACTAATTGAGTTCTTCGTTAGGAACACCTGTAAATGTGCTTTTACATGCATTTATTCAGCTGATCACATGGTAGCAAGCTAACATGGAGAATCCTGCAGAAACAACTCAGGAGCCTCAGTATACCTTGTGTTTCTGAAGGATCTCTCACACCAAGTCCCAATATTTTCTAAATATTATTACATATTTAAAATGTATTTGATTGGACATTATGTCATTCATAGTTTCTGATTGAGATGTTTCTTTGTGCATCATTAAAATTTTGGGTTCAGGTTTAATTTATTCCTTTTTCATTGCATCAGTCAAACATGCTTCGACAGATAAATATCACCTGCAGATCATTGTCACTTTTGCAGACATGGAGCTAAAATTGTGTGTGGTAGTAGCTGAGTCGCCCTAATTAGAGGTGGGTGATGAACCGAAAATTTACCAAAACCAAAATTTATGACTAGTATCGACGTCATCGTGTCCATATCAGTATATTCAGTATTTTAAAAAAAAATTAAAAGATGTGCGTTAGTCGGTGATGTTGGTGTACCTCTGCGATGGATTGTCAACCTGCCGAAGTGTAACTTGCCTGTTTGCTTGAAGACTGCTGGAGAGGGGCACCAGCCCCCCATGACCCTGACCAGCTTGGTCTCACACACACAGGTTGTGCACGAACAGCTGACTATAATGCATTTAGAACCATTCATTTCCTTTTTTATTCTTTCCTTTTCATGTTTTATTACAAAAATCTGCAACAAATAACAAATAAAAGCATAAAAACTCAATGTAAACCATTGAAGATGCTTAAAAAAAGCATATGAGTTATAAACTTGGTGTCTGAAGGCCTAAGAGCTGATTTAGGGTTTTATTTGCAGTAGAGAAACACATTTGCCTCCAGACTTGAACCAAAGAATCCATGGCAACAAATCAAAAAGAAGTGGAAAAACAAGATACTCCAGTCTTATGTCTGATGTCAGCAGCTAAAACCCAAGGAACCAGCAGGTGTTGGGTCAGCAGTCTGGTTCTGCTGGTGTAACCATGTGGGGAAGTTTAATTCAGCCTCATTAGGACCAACAGTGTGGTTTATTCAGAACAGACTGTGTGTGTGTTGTTGCTGTCCTGACCACTACCAGACCAGTAAAAAGAAGAAATCATTTCAAAAGTTCCTGTCTGACAGTATAAAGTATGCTGAAATATCTAAAAAATAACTATAAATACACATCATGTTCTAAAGAAGTTCATCAATCAACATTGGAACCCAGAACATCTAAGACAGCAGGTCTCACTTAAGGTCAGATGTCATTTACAAGATGATTTCAATTGGAGAAATCCAAACCACCTCAACTGGAGCCAGTTGAGGTGGTTTGGGCATCTGGTCAGGATGCCTCCTGGACGCCTCCCCGGGGAGGTGTTTTGGGCATGTCCTGCCGGCAGGAGGCCCCCGGGTCGACCCAGGACACGTTGGAGAGGTTATATCTCCAATCTGGTCCGGGAATGCCTTGGGGTCCTGCCGGAGGAGCTGGTGGACAAGGCCGGGGAGAGGACGGCCTGGAGCTCCCTAGTTGGGATGCTGCCCCCGCGACCCGGACCCGGATAAGCGGAGGAAGACGACGACGACGAGAAATCCAAGACCAAAACCTCTGTTGACCAGAAATGACAGACCTGTCTCACATTTTCCTAAAAATCATCGTGATGATCCCCAAGACTTCAAGGAAAAGGTTCTGTGGACTAATGAGATGAAAAAAGACGGACTTCTCACGTTAGGCCCATTTCATCTCGTTCCAGCTCAGTGGCCTAGTGGTATGAGTGTCCACCCTGAGATTGGGAGATCAGGGTTCAAATCCTGGTCGGGTCATACCAAATACTTAAAAAACAAAATGGCGCCCAATGCCTCCCTGCTTGACACTCAGCATTGAGGGGCTGGATTAGGGGGTTAAACCACCAAATGGTTCCTGAGCGCGGCTGTGTCCGCAGCTCACTGCACATCCAGGGGATGGGTCAAATGTGGAGAACAAATTTTGCACACACATCAGTCTGTGTGTGTCAACTAATGGGACTTTAACTTTAATCTAGATTAAAACTAACTATTTCAGATACAGAATCGTACCAACAGTCAGACATGGTGGTGGTAGTGTGGTGGTTTGTGGCTTCTCTGCTGCTTCTGGACCACTTGCTAAAACTGATGGAACCATGTATTCTGCTTTCTACTCAAAAATCCAGAAGGAGAATGACCTTAATCAGGCAGTTACACTTTAGAGAAAAGTGGTACAACAGTCCTCCACAGTGATGTGAGACTCCTCACCAGTTATCACAAACACTGGATCCAGTTGTTCCCTCCAGCAGTACAACCACTTATTAGGCTTAGGAGGTTGATTACTTTATTTACACACAAGGACAAAATTGTATTGGCTACTTTTCTCCCCAAATAAATCAAGTTACCATTTGAAAACTACATTGTGTATTTATTCAGGCTATCATTTTATATTAAAATTAACCCAAAAGACCTGCTTAGGTGGGAAATACTTTTTCACAGCTTTGCAATTGTAAAACTGTGATAACAGCAGGAAGTATAACTCAGTAATGTTCCTTAAAAATGTTTTAGTGAGTTTTTGTTATATTTTCTTAGCAGCTAAAATGTTGACCTAATATTTAAATGGTTTCTCTAAACCTTGCGTAAAGCAGGAGCAATCTCTGAGTGGTGTTTTCCTGTCTTCACAGAGAGATCTGGACACATAGATCATTTTGACATCGTGGAGCGGGTGGAGATGGGTCAAATGGCCTCCATGTTCTTCAACAAAGGTAATGTTCTTTTTGCCTCAAGCTTTCATTCTCACTCTCTAATATTCAATTAACTGCAGACGCCATCATCATTAGCCACGTCTAATATTTATGGGCGAGTCGAAAGGTTGTATTGGATAATTCATCAAAGATTTTTTTTTATATTCATCCCCATTTTCAAAGGAAGGCTGCTGGTGCTTTAATTGGATGTAATTACATGTGGATAAATTGCCTTTGGATATAATCACCAGTTTGAGAGCCCATCAGTGCTGAGTGTGTGTGTGTGTGTGTGTGTGTGTGTGTGTGTGTGTGTGGGTGTATAAGGGAAGGGTATATTACCTGTTCTTGTGGCAAACACCTGAATGGGTTCAGAGCTAATGACGCCTGTGCTAACTCGTGATGGTAAACTGAAAGCAGCAGAATCACCTTGAGCCAGGGAGAAAGAAGGCTACAGCGTTACCGTCCTTGCTCATATGAATAGAGAATGCAGCACACACTCCTCTTGTCTGCTTGCATTAAGCCAGCCTTAACCACACGACTCGGAAGTCTGCAGTGTCCCTGTTGATGCAGGAATCAAAGAACAACAAAAGGTCAAAGCTCTGATGGCGTGCTGACGTGCTCCATCTTGCCAGTAGGTGGAGCACTCGACACACACACACACACACACACACACACACACACACACACACACACACACACACACACACACACACACACACACACACACACACACACACACACACACACACACACACACACACACACACACACCATGTCATTTTCACACGAACATGTGTGAATGTGCTCATGCATGCCAGCATGCAGCTCATGCTGCTAAAGCTGCAGTGTGCTCCCATCCATTTACTGTCTTGTCACTTACTCGATTGCCTGCCTGTTGAAGGTGATTCATTAAAAAAATGAAAACTCTTAGCTGATGACCTTTCTCACCGTGGAACAAGCACTGTGTGCAGGTCACATGGGTGCGAGGATCGATTGGGAATAAGGAAATGAGGTTTAACCCAACCTCTCTCTATCACCATGGGGTGGAAAATCTTCCTGGTGACTCCAGATTTGAGTCCTAAAACATGCTGAATGAGGAAAATTGGAATAAAAGGACAAAAGGTGCTTAGAGCACAAACCCGCTGAAGTTCCATCAGATCTCTGTTTGCATCAATTCATCAGTTTCTGTTTATTAGACACAATGTGCCCATTTCTTGTTGAATCTTTGGTTCTATGTTTACTACACTTAGTAAGGTTTCCCTGAAACTGCCCAAATAGCATCATTTGTAGTGTTTATACTTGTTCAGTACTAAACTATTTGGATGGCAATTAAATATCAGTACATGCATACAGGTGGCTGATGTTCTGTTGATTATGGTGTGACATCTGCTGACTTTTGTTAAAACTGTCTTCCTTTATAAAATCAGACATTTTATCTCTGTTGGGACAGTCAGGCTTCTGTAGCAGCTCTCTCTGGTATATACTGCATTGCTGACTGAAGAAAAACATTCAGTTGATTGGTTCTAACATGGCAAACCATCATATATATGTAAATATGTAGTCTGGCCACGACCCATAGACAGAAATCAGTCTTTGGTAGGTTTGATATGAGTTATTTATCAAATTCCATTTTCTGCACACAGCGTAATAAAGATTTGTTTTTACATTATTTTCATGACATGTTCCGGCTAACTCTGCTGGCGGTACTCTGAGGAAGGCTACAGATTTAGACGAAACTTGTCAGGAAAAAAACGTAAAAGCAAAACTTTATTGTGCTGTGTGTAGAAAACAACCAAATAACAGAACCCAGTCGATGGGCGGAATTGATGCATCTACATCAATTGGACAGTGCTAGGACCAATCAGAGCAACAAACATATGCAAACAAGTCAATAGAGCAGTCCACCATACACCATCAAAGAAGGAGAAGAATCAAATATATAATTTTTCTAAAATAAATTACCTAAGTACCTCTATCTGCTGACGTTGTCCAAATTTGATGCCAACGCCACTTCAAATGAGCGCTGAGCCGAACTCACATCATCACAGTTTTTTGCCATTGCAGCTCTGGTGCTTAGCCCACCCATTGTCCCTTTACAAACATAGAGCGCTGGACTGGCTAGACACAAAATCGTTCTGGCTAAAGGTCGACCTGCTACGGCTACGATGGAGTGTGGCTAGACCAACCTGCAGAGCAGAATCGTTTGGTACTGCTACGGTTGATCTAGATTCCTTGGCTAGATAGGTTAATCTCGACGGAACTACGATTATTAATGGGTATCCACTAGGGCTGCACAATATATAAAAAAATTATCGTCATCGCGATAACAGGACGTGCGATAGGCCCATCGTAAAGCATGTCAAAAACGGCAATAAATGTTTGGGTCAAACATTTCCATCCGTGTCATACATCAACTTTTAGTAAAACAGCTCTGTTTTTTACGCGGAAGTATTATTTGGCCAATCAAATGTAGCCCTTCTGATATGCGGCCAATCAGATGGGTCCGTTCACGTAATACGCCCGCCCCCTACGTAGACCCTTACCCCAAAATTCCACTATCTCCGCTCCACTCCGCCCCCGCTTTCCGCTGCCGCTCGCTTCCCTTGTTCGTCATGCTGGCTCAGATTAACGAACGCACTTTGTGCTGAGGTTTCTGGAATCAGCTCTGCTTTCAAACGTGAACGTGAGTCCGCTCTGTGCCGTTAAGCAGCTGATAATAACCGGGCTGACTCCGACACGTGCCGGTGAACCAACCCACCTTCATGTCGCTAGTGTTCCACCGGGTGGTGATGTTTGCCCCAGGCTCCGGTTAGCTTCCAGCTAAAAGGCTACAGCACTCTCCTCCCAGTCCCACCCTGCTAAAGAGGGCCTGGAAAAGTTCCCCCACACATCAAAGTCATTTTTCATTTATGAGCTTTTATAACCTTGTTAATCAGGATAGTTGATTTGCTGCTGCACATAAACTGTCAGTCAGAAGCTCTGCTAGCCGGTTATCTTAGAGGAGCTAGCTCAATTTGTTAGCTTGTTATCAGAATCATAGTTGCAGTTTCATCATCTGAGCTGCTTTTTAAGATCTAGGTAAACTTGTTCAATTTGGGGTTAAAAACAAACGTTTTCACATGTTTTCCATGTAGTTTTTTTGCCAGTTCCTCTTCTGAAAGGTAGACAATTGTTTTTCTCTTTCCCTCAGAAAATCTTAATATTCTCCTAGTTTGGCCCAGCACAGTTCACTTCCCAGTTACAGCAACAGCCTTATATCATAACCACAGAAGTGGAGAAAATGCTCAGTAGCAATGAGAGAATTTGCTGTTGCATTTAAGTGATGTTAACTATTATTTAACATTTAAAGTAATTTTCAGATATTTTTATTTATTCAAAAACCCTGGTAAGGGATGTTTTTCTGTATTTGGAGCATCAGAAAAAGTTTTATGGTGGAGGTGATGTTTTAAAGTCACTGAGAAACTGCATGCATGCAATTTGTTGTTTTGCTGCTAATACAGTAGCAGGTGCAGCTGCATATTTTTGCAATAAAAATGTTATCTTGTAATGGAATTCATGCATTAGTTTTTGTTTGCTTTGAACCCAGAGCAGACATCACACGCCAGACAACATCAACACTAGGGCTGCAGCTATCGAATATTTTTGTAATCGAGTACTCTATCGAATCTTTTTTTCGATTAATCGAGTACTCTAAAAATTACCCTTTTGTGTTTGTAAACCTTTATATCATATATTGATGAGCCAAGATGGTGCAGAGTATGGCTGCCTCGTCGCGAGCTCCACCAAGTTCCAACATTACACGCTCCATACTGTACATTAATGCCACTGTTTTGCACATACCAACCTCTGTACATTTTATATCTCTTATCTTATTGTTTACTTTATTCATTTGTATACTTAGATTAGCCATTTTTATATTTTACTTGTTTTTACATTACTGTATTTTTGCACAACTCTATTGCTGTGAAACTCGCACACAAGAATTTCACTCGCATGTACTGTACCAGTGTACCTGCACATGTGACGTGACAATAAAAGTGATTTGATTTGATATCAAATAGCATGTTATAATTATGAAAGACCTCTTAAAATGAGCAAGCAATTGCCAGTTATTCAAGTTTTATTCAAAATTAGTTTGCATAACTTCAGCACTTCAACTTTACTTCACAGTAAACAAATGCCTGTGCAAAAAATAAGTAAACCTGAGCCGATTTTCCCCTCGTGCGAGAATCTGCTAGCCTGCAAGTCAGACAAAAACTAGGAGGATAACGCTGCGAGCGGCTGCGGCCCAAACAGAACCAGAACCGCTCACGGCGCAAACAGCTCGCCGGCTGTTTCCCTATTAACACACGTCCGTTTTAATTTCCACACTTTTTTTCTCACACTAACAAGGATTGCCAAAAGCAAGTTTGCTGTGGTTTTGTCAAATTATACTGATCACAAAACATGTATTTACTTTCTTTCGTTTTCCTCCGCCACTCATAAATACCCGTGTCCTCCTGCAGAAACCCCGAGGGACAACAGACATCAATAACACAATAAAAAGTCCGACGTGTTGTGTAAAAACTGCTATTTTTAGCACATTTTAAGTCCGACGTGTTGCTACCAGATGTAAGATGTGAGCTGAAACTGAGCGCTACAAACGAAAAAGTCGCAGAGTCCGCAGAAAATATAGAAAAACAGGCTAAAAAGCATTATCTTGTAGAGGCTCCGAGTCCGCTTGCAGAAGTGACATTTACAGGTGCTGCAGCATGGAGGATGTGGTGTTGTGCTAGGCTAAATCCATTTTACTGTATTTATACTGGACTACGTTTTCCACCTTACGACGTGAAAAATGGTTCCACAACTTTGACATTTTCTGTCTTTTTCGCACTCCACCGGGGTTCAAGTTGTCCGCCATGGCTTAAGAGAAAGTTAAGTTATATTTGCTACTCGCGTGTGCATTCAGTCCAGTGGGCATGTGCGTCACTTATTTCGGTCCGGGTGAAACATGACCCCGGGCGATTGCAAAGCCATAAATT